GTCACAGCAATTCCTCAATGTCAAGCATGTCTGGCCATTCAGGTATCTTGGGAGCTTCCTCAGGACAAGCGTCTTCTACAAGCGCCTGTGTCTGCAATAGGGAGAACGTGTCTGTCTTTTTGGCAGCTGCTCCCCAAATGAGCTACAGAACCTGTCTTTTATATTTCCTGCTCCTCTCCTACTTCCCTGCTTCTGGTGTGGAGAGTATGACCTTCCTGGTTCTGCCCACCAGAAGCATTCTGTCTACCCCTCATTGTCAATATCTGAGGGTGGCCATGCCATTTTGTTACAATGCCCCTATGCAACTCAGTTCAAGAGGAGCTTTTCCTAATTAAATATTGCAGGAAAGGTCCTATAATGGGCACAGCTACAATTGTCATCAGTAATGTTAACATGATCGAGTCCTTTTTAATATCCAGTCATACTACAGTATTTAACTCTATGACCTACCATGCCAACAGCTTCTACCAGATGACCGTATGCTGGTACTTGTTCTAAATTTTTTTAGCCATTAGTTTCTGACCCCAATGCTTTTTTCCATAGGGGAAGAAAGAGAAAAAACATACTCATCTAAATACCACACTGTGCCCTTCAGAATTCTGATGGCCTCAGCCAGGTCCCTCTGTGGGGCCAAATCACTGCTTCCCACCACACCTCAGGACCATGCCTCACATCCCAAGAGGTGAGGGTATCTCATTGCCTCCAGAAGCTGAACCTCAACGTGGTGTCCCAGACTACTATATCTCTACTGCTACAGGGTATGGCAACAGGATTACAAGGGAATAGTGTTGGCTCCAGTGTGCCCTTGTGGAGCACAGGCTTTCCAGGCTGAATAATTTCCTCTCTCAATGTCAGCCTCATATGCTGCTTCTCAAGTGGAGCTGTCAGCCAAGCCTTCAGAGTCAAGTTGCTCCTTCCTCTGGGAAGGCAAAATGTCTGCACATCAAAAAGAACTTCTCTATCACCCCATACAGTCTCCAATATCCCCATCCACAGTGTATTCAGCTGAGAGTAGAGGAACCCAAGTACAAATCCCTGCTCTGCAGAGGGGAGAGTTGACCACAGATCTCCTGTATCCTGGGTGAGTTCCAAAACTACTGGGCTAAATGTAACAAAGGAGTTTTCCTTCTTTGCTCATTTATGTTGAGTTAGGTGTACTCTGAGTACACCTCCCAGATTGGCCCCAGCAGGAGAGATAAGATAGGTAACACCTATCTCCACCCTGTTTGAAGCTCTGCCTGGGGCTAATGTGTCAGATAGAGGCAGAGATGTGAAATTTAGGGATCTTGAAGACTTCAATGGCAGAAACTTAGATGCAAAGATCATTAGGTACTTCCAAAGTTATGCAGCATCTAAGCAGGGTATTGAGGAGCTCAGCAACACTTACATTTTAGAATTAGGTACCTGAAGTGAGAATTGGGTGCCCATATCCTTTTGTGGATCTGGTTCTGCTCACCTTTAAGTCAATGGCAAAACTCCTATTGACTGTCTCAAGTCAGATACACAACTCTGAAGGCAGGGGATAAGCAAGTTCCATGTCTTCTTGGATTATGATCAGCTCAATGCCCTATACTTATCTCAGAGCGTGATTGTTTGGATAGTCAGATCTAGCAGTCAAGACTGATTTCCCAAATGTATTGAAAATAGATTGGTATGACTGTTATTGAAAACATTGTTTTACTAGTCCCTTTAAATTTTCTCTTTGCCAGTTATATAGAAGTGTTAACACACTGGCCACCTCTGGTACTTCAGGGTATGTCTACACTACCACCCTAGTTCGAACTAGGGTGGTTAATGTAGGCAACTGGAGTTGCAAATGAAGCCCGGGATTTGAATTTCCCGGGCTTCATTTGCATAATGCCGGGCGCTGCCATTTTTAAATGTCCGCTAGTTCGGACTCCGTGCCCGCGGCTACATGCGGCACGAACTAGGTAGTTCGGATTGGGCTTCCTATTCCGAACTACCGGTACACCTCGTTCCATGAGGAGTAATGGTAGTTCGGAATAGGAAGCCTAATCCGAACTACCTAGTTCATGCCGCATGTAGCAGCGGGCACAGAGTCCGAACTAGCGGACATTTAAAAATGGCGGCGCCCGGCAATATGCAAATGAAGCCCGGGAAATTCAAATCCCGGGCTTCATTTGCAACTCCGGTTGCCTACATTAACCACCCTAGTTCGAACTAAGGTGGTAGTGTAGACATACCCTCAGCAATCTCTTGGCCAAACATAGGGCCCACGTCTCCCAAGCGAACCTTCTGATCAGTTGATTTCCTCCTCACTTGCTTGGAAAATCCTTTATCAACAATGAATACACAGGCTGTTTGTTTAGCCTGCAGCAAACAGGTTCCAAGCTGAATTCCAGTATGAGCTGTACAAATGTAAAGAGGGCTGAATGCTAGCACCACAGCACAAAGGTCATGTATAGCCATTTAATATTTTCTTCCAGTTAAGGACAAGTCTAATTTATGAGGTCAACGATGTAAAAAATAATTCAAGATTATTGTTGAAATACCTGGTCAATCAGCAAGGAGGCTGCTGTGTGCTCCGTGTCATTTACAGGATAGTTATTTACTGTGTTTGAACAAAACAGTCTGAAAATGAGCCACAGTGTTTGGCAGCAGCAAAGAAAAAAAACAAGGTGATTGGGTGAATAAAGAGGGGAATTATAAAGTGAAGTGAAGGTGATAATGAGGCTGCTGTGTAAAGGCCTTGTAAGGCCTCATTTGATATATTGTGGGAGTATAGAAGCATGAGTTTAATACTTAAAAACTATTAGAAAATGTAGCTAGAGAAGTAAAGCAGAGCTTATTTAGAGTATGGGAAGAATGTCTTCTTAGTAAAGGGTTCAAGAATTCAATTCATTAAGCCTAGAAAGAGAAAGGAAGCTTAGTTGGACACCTAATTAACATTTAAAAGCACTTGAAGAATCTGTTCACTTTATGCAAAAAGGGCAAAATTTAGGGAGTAGTTGGCATGGCTGTTATTGAAAACATTAAGCCTCCCAAAATCAAGGAACAAGGGGAGTGGATACAGGATTCATAAATAAAAGTTTACTTGGATAGCACAAATAACATTTTCACCCACAGGGTCTTTAATATACACAAAATAATTCCTAGCAACCTAACTGTGGCCATTAGTGCTGCTGGATTAAAATGTAGGGTGAAGATATTTTTAGTAATCAATACAATTTCTTAAACACATGCTTTAAAAGGAGGTAGGAGTCGTGTAAATGACTTATGGTTTTTTCTGTTCAAACATGGTTTTGTTGTCATTTCTACATACCAAAAACCTAAGTACTTTATTTACAATGAATGAGCACAATATTGGGTAAGCGCCATTAAAGTTTCATTGCATACACATAAAAGTCACCAGGAATGATTCAGCCCCAACTCTGCAACCAATATAATGCTGACCTTCCCATGGAAGTCTGGGCAAAAGAGGAATATCTATATTGAGAGGAGGACTGGGAATGATGGGAGTGAGACAAGCCATGGTGTTCCCCACTACTGCTATTCTGGCTTGTCACTGCGGTAGGTAGTGGAGGGGAGGCTGCTGTAACAGGCTGCTGGTCTAAATAAACTAAAGTTTCAGTTTCCATTTTGCCAACATTGGGATGGCACAGATATGGTTTAAATCCTAGGGTTGCCAGATGGTTTCAACAAAAATACTGGACACACTTGACATTACATCACACGCTACATTACATTTTATTTAGAAAATACCGGACATTTATATTTTCTCAATTTGTTTCCCGAACAGAAAGCTCAAATACTGGACTGTACAGTTCAAAACTGGACACCTGGTAACCCTATTAAATCCTTGCCTCAGCCTTCTGTCCTTTGTCAATGTACAACACAGAATCTGACCCACAGACTGGCAAGATTCACTTGGACCTGCTTTTCAAAATATCAAAGGCACAATTCTTAGAGGGGTAGCCATGTTAGTCTGTATGTGCAAAACAAACAGGGAGTCGTGTGGCAGCTAAAATACTGTGACTCTGTTAGTCTTTAAGGTGCCAGAGGCACACCTCTGCGCATTACTTGGTCATGTAGTTAACTATGTCAAAATACACACACTGGCTATCCACATTAATTACAAACATACCAAGACATTTACAGATACAAATATCTGAATCATGCTAAGTGTCCATGAAAATGTATGCATAAATTGCTTAGGCATTTTTGTATGTACAATTGCACATGTAACTTTTTTGAAAAGCAAATCAAAATATGCCCATTATCTCATCTAGTCTCCATCTCCCTGCTACGATAGGATTTTTCTCTACAGTATCTTTTCAAGGGCTTTGTCTAATTGAGTATTAAGTGCCTCAGAAAATGATCAACTGCATTTCTAAGTGTAATTTTAACACTTTAACATTCAAAGGTGCTATTTTTTTCAAGCAATCTTAAGTTTAACCCCGACTCACAGAACTTAAGATCACTTTCTAAATGCACTGTAACAACTGGATTACAAATGATGCTTAAAGAATTCTGATTCCACTGTAGTATTCGTATAGAAAGCCTGAAACAGAAGAATGTTGCATACGTCTGTCAAAGTGAAGTTAAAAATCTCTCTGTGTTAGTCAGGCTAGGGTGGGATAATTCCATATTCAGTAATCATTCTGTGATGATGATTATTCACCACAGTACATCAAGTGCTAATTTATACATCTGAATTATCTGCTCTTAAGGGCTTCATCCTGAAAGGTGCTTAGCACCTACAGGAACTGAAATTCATGGAACCCGAAGACAGTAAGCACCTCCAGTAGTTACTCAGCACCTTGTTGGATTCTGTGATACTCTATCCACAGATGGTATGAATCAGCACAGCACACTTTACTTCAAACCCAGTTCTGGCTCGTGGTTTTTAAAAGAGTAATACCGTAATTTCAGATATTGTTATAATATGTTTCTCCTCTCATATTCATTAACACTAGAAAATATAAACACAAATAATGTTTTTATTCATTTTTATATTGTTTTGGAGGTCACAGTTTGCAATACATTCAGCTAAGTATGAAATGTAATATTCAAAGGGAGCAGCATTTTATTTAAAAAACTATAGCCCAGATAACCATTGCAGCTCTCATTAAACACACAGAGGTTTACAGATATGTTGTAGTGACAGATGTCAGAGCACATCAAAACTTTTTGGCACGTAAATGCTTGACTCTAAAACAAATTAACATTCACCATTCCTCCTCCAGAAGAGATGTCTAATTATTACACCACTGATACAGTTGCTATAAAAGATTTAAACACTAGGTTTCATTAGACTAGTGGAGGGGAGGGAAGAGAGGAGTAGGAAGAAAAAAAAACCCTGAAAATGTCATACAAATACTTATTCTGAAATACTGTATTTACACAAAGTTAGAGAGAGTACAACTACTTTACTAAGTAGACAATAATATGATATCACATTCAGCTTTAATACCAGCGAGCTATAGATGCAGAATACGGAGGCCTAATTTACTTGCATGGCCATAGAGCATTAGAAAGACCTCAGAGTTTGAAAGCAGAGGAGAATATGACTTTGTATTTACTATGCATTATGAGCCTTTTCATTGACTGAATGAGATTTCAATAGGGCCTTTAAACCATCATAGGTGGTAGATAATAGGCTCAGTCATGCAAGCTGAAAATCTGACCTGATTCTGCAAAGTGCTTAACATATGTTTAAGTTTAAACTTGTGCTTAGTCCCATTGATTTCAATAAGACTTAGTTACATGTTTAAAGTAAATCACATGATTAAGTGCTCTGCAGAATCAAGATTGGAATTTTCAGCTTTTTGCAGGATCAAGGCCAATGTTAGAGCTCTAATTTTAAGGCTACTATCATTTAAAAAATAAAAACAAACTCTATACTTTGTCTTATATGTTTTCTTCTTAAAAATACATTTTAAAATTACTTCCGTTAGTTTATTAAACTCCACAGAACATTGCTCATTCATATTCATGGTAACATATGATTGGTGGACTTGTGTTCATAATTAGTTCCAGCATTTTCCAAAAGACTTTCAAAATTAATAATAATAGTATGTAATAATATGTAATAAAAAATAATTAATATCATGTTTATAATACAGTTGCCTCTCTCCTTGATATGTTTTATATGGGAGGTTGGCAGCATATCTGCTCCAGTAGCCAACAATATTCTCATGTAAATCATAGGACAAAGTTCATACCATATTGTTGTTATCCGTTACCTGATGCATAAAAGATTTTTTCCCCATTATATTTTCTTCAGAAAGAATTACTGCATTTTATCCTGGAATATGTTATCACATAGCTCTTGAATAAAAAAATAAAAACCAAAATCTGAAATCTGAAATATAGTTTCACTTTTCCAGTCTAATTGACCTGATTTCCTCCTAATGAAAGGTGTGTTGCATGGAACTGGCTCAGTGACATAAATTACAATGCTCGTTAACTAAATTCTGATTATGTCTTTGTTGCTGTCACTGTGATTATTGTAATTATGTGATATCACAAAAGTGCTAAATATTAGTAAATCAGATACACGACCTTTGGTTATGCTTAATAAAATAATGGCATACTGAATATACATATCACTTTTAAAAGTCTATGTTACAATCATGTTGCTTTATAATAAATAATCATCTCATTTTCAAAGTGCCCATTCTTAATAGCTATTGTAGGCATCATTACAGCAAGCCATCAATTAAAATACTCATTTAAAATGTTCTAAAACTAAGACAAAGCCAGGATTGCAGATGCAAGTATATTGTACAAATGGTGCTCCAACTATCTGTTCGTGCCCTAGGCTCCAATGGTCCCATAATCTTTGTATTAAGAGAGTATGATGCTAGATCTTCAGTAAAATACCAGGACGTGACATCTGGAATGTTATAGGCTTCAAAAGTTAAACTCCAAACGCTGAACTTACTCCACTTACCAAGAAGCAGTCAGTGCAGAGGACTAAGAAGCAGTGGAACCTCTGCCCATCCCTGACAGAGACTATGCTGCTAAATTCTGTACTAAATGCAGACAGTGGAAGAGCCTACATTGAAAGCCCACAATCCAATGCATTGCAGGAATCCAACTTTCATATCCAAAAGTGTGCTTTGCCATTGTCCAGTCAACATGTGATAGATCAAGTAATATCCTTGTGGTGGTAAAAGCCTGACCTAGCTTGAAGGCTAGTGACTGCCATGGTGTTAGCATGTTCTATGTAAGCAGTAATCATTTTCAGTGTCTAGAGAGCTGTTGTAGCCAGATGAAGGATACAGGTCCCTTTTAAGTATTCTATTGACAATGTTGATCATTACTTTCTTGTACTGTTGACGTAAAAGAGAATAAACAAATGGATCCGATGCAGCCTTACTGTAGGTGAGGCACTTGCTTACAATCCCCCAGTAGTAGTTTATGGTAACAAAAGGAAGAAGTTCTATCAACCTGTTAAACATTAGCAAACAGAAGGAAAGCTGAGTGTTATATTCACAATAGCAAACTGTTCAACTTGCATTTTCAGGAATAATAGCATACATGTTTGTATTATGCAGTACCAGAGAGGATAATCCTGCAGTCATTGCACAAGTAAAATTATGAGAGATTTTCCTGAGTAAAGACAACCATGAGGAGGACAAAGGATTTTAACTATATATTTAAGCACTGAGGCCACATATTCATATGTCTTGTATGCAAAGAAGTGTAGCAACATATTGCAAAACCTTAAGCCTAATTCTATTTAGTGAGCTGTGCTAGCAATTGGAAATATATGCAAGATCTCAGCACTGTCGGGCAAGTTTCTTGTCTTCCTGGCTTCTCCCATCTCTCTAAGCAAGTAGAAAGACATGTAATATGTACTGTAGAAAATGGAATTCTATGTCAATATATCCTTACTTAATTTATGTAAGGCTACGCACAGAAGGAGAATACATGATGGATTGGTGTGATACAAAACACATCAAGATAATACACATTGTTTCATGGCCATTTGCTCTCATTCTTGATCATACAGACTACTTCTCCTCGTTTTTGCAATCACAGGCTATCCTTGTATCACACTGCAATTTCTTCTTTGGAAAAGTGAAATGAGGAATGTATTTATGCATTTTAATTGTCTGCTAAGGTATGTAGAAGATTGATACAAGGAAGAGATGTTGTTGCTTTCTGTCAAACTATCCATGTTTAGATCACCAACATGGGCTCCATGAATCACTAGTAGTTATAGAAGCACAATATGAGAATCTTGGGCATAAAGGCTTTATCAACATGAGTTTGGAATGAGTGGGGTAATGGAGTTGAGGCCATCTCAAATAAGTGACAATAAAATCATTACAGTATGCCACACAATAACATCGTGTATTCCGTGTGCGTCGCATCTGCTACTAAAAAAACCTCCTTTAATAAAGTGGAGAGGGTTTTTGCAAAATTATGTATACAGTTTTTCATATCTATTCACCCCAACTGCACTGACCTAAAATACACTATAAAGACTTTTTGAAAATGACCTAAAATAGGCTTTCTATGCCCTAACAGGTAATAGCTTCAAAGTGTGATATGCCAGGCATTCCCAGTGCTAGGAATGAGCTCTTGGTCTCTTTGGGAAGCTTGGAATTTCTTTTCTTATAGTACAAAGCTCCCATTTTTCAGGGCTGAAAAGTATTGGCATTTAAAGTTATATTTCTATAAAACCTGGCACTGGTATGTGAAATACTGCAGTAAAATCCACAGCTCTGTGTGTGTGCATAAAATAGGGAGGGGAGAACACGTCTCTGGCAAGTGGATTAAAAAAGGTAGCCGATGTCTGTAGCTGTGCCAGGGCTTGGAATATAAGAATAAATCTTATGGAGAAGGACTAATGACAGAAAGCAAGGAAGGCAGTCAAAAAGTGCATTATAAGCAAGTGTATCATGTGGATCTGCAACTTATCACATGGTAGGTACATGGTTCCTCGGACTATCCCATGTGGGAGATCATCCACATACCATCTATATGCTTGATCTGTACAAAATGAACATTTGTAGAACATTGTTAAACAGAACAGTATATAGAGATATGCTTGAGTGTGTGTGTATATGCAGGCGTGCGCGCACATGCACATATGTGTATTATATAATAGACTATGGGTGCAACCCTAAACTAAAGTAAATGGAATTCTCCTCCACCCCCTGCTTGACTGCAGTGAGATAAAGGATAGTAACAGCAAGGCTGTTATAGTGAGGACAAACTTCATCCATTTAATTTAGTCCCAACAGATAGAATTTATTGTTGATTTCCAAAATCTCATTAACATTTCTGCAGTTAGGGGCAAATCCTAATTTCAGAGCATAGCCGGAGCAGCTACACCATATGCTGGGGAATCCTCTATCCCAGAGCATCTATGAAGGCTATTCTAATTCAAAGGCAGGTATGGTTGCTGTGGATCAGACACAATCCATCAAATGGAGAAACGCCTACATGGCAACAAATACTCCAGGCTTATCCCAACCTTCTCCCTGCCCTGACCCTGCATGTTGCCCTACACAGATCCCTACAAGATGCCTACATAGCTCTCCCCAAACCCTTTCCATTCTGCTGCTCTCTGAGGCCAAAGGAGCAAGGACAGAATTCACCCCCTGATAAGTGAATTTTAACTTTCTCTCTACTAACATATGTGGTGTCACTTAATGCATTAAGATAATGCATTAGCTGACATTTAGAAAACACCCTGTCTAAAGAATGGAGTAGCTTTTTGCTTCAATTGTTTATGGAAAATATTTCCTATTAAAAAGTGTTTGGATGCCGGAATTTGCTGAGCAGGGTATAATTACAATGTGAATTAAGATGGCAGAATCCGTCCTTTGCTTGGTATTGAATTATAGCTTGATGGTTACAATAATGAAGAGAAAATGACTCATGAGGTATTGAGCATTAATCAATTAACCTTTTAACTTTCTGGTGTCAAGTTAATATCTGTAACAAATCTTCCAAAGGAAGAGGAAATGCAGCTGCCTTGCCAGCCAGGCAAGAACTTCTTTCAACTAATAAAAAAGTGAAATAATAAAAAGTATCATCTCAAAGGTTAAAACATGCAAAAGTAAAGGTTGAAAAATCTGAGGACAATCTATATGTTCTGTCCTTCAAATGCCTCCTTGGTCTAGATGTCCCTCTGAAGTCAAGTGTGGTAGGAACAGGGTGAAGAAAGATGATAGCATAAGGCCCTAATTATGCAAAATCTGTATAGCAAACTCAAGATATTCAAAAGTTAGTAGTGTTTGGGTGCCTCAGTGTTTGGGTCTCCAACATGATGTGTCTTTAAAGGGCCTGATTTTAAGAAGATGCATCATAGAATCATAGATTCTTAGGATTGGAAGAGATGTCAGGAGGTCAACTAATCTAATGCCCTGCTCAAAGCCGACCTACCCCAGCTATGCTCAGTAATTTCTGAAAATCAGGCCCCTTCAGGGTCTCAGAAATTGGTCATCCAAAAATTCAGTCTCCCATACACACACAGAAAAAAAAACCTAGTCACTTTTGAAAATCATTACTCAGTTTCAATCAAGTGAAAAAGAATTGACTGGATTCTCAGTTGGTGTAAATCAGTGTAGCCCCATTGTCTTCTATCATGCTGATTTAGATCACGAGGATCTAGTCTGCTGACATTATTAGTTAACCTTTGATTTGAACTGGATACTTCTTAGTGTTTATGAGCTGACACTTACTGGAAAACTATCCTGCAATATTGAAGTTATTGGGAGTTTTGCTACTGACGTCTGTGGGCACAGAATCAAACCCTTGATTATTTAATCAATAATATTTCTAGACCTAGAACCTATGGGCCAGGTCATCAGCTGGTGCAAGTCTTTGTGGTGCCTTTGAAGTCAATGAGCTTCAACCAATTGAGGATCTAGCCATATGCCCCTAAAAAATAGGATAATGAGCCATGTAGATAGGAGAGAGGAGGTGGATGTGGTATACCTAGACTTTAGTAAGGTGTTTGATACAGTATTGCATGATATTCTTATAAATAAATTAGGCAAATACAATTTAGATGGGGCTACTATAAGGTGGGTACATAACTGGCTGGATAACCATTCTCAGGGAGTAGTTATTAATGGTTCACAATCCTGCTGGAAAGTTATAACAAGTGGGGTTCCACAGGGGTCTATTTTGGGACCGGTTCTGTTTAATCTCTTCATCAACCATTTAGATATCGGCATAGAGAGTATGCTTATTAAGTTTGCAGATGATACCAAGCTGGGAGGGGTTGCAAATCCTTTGGAGGACAGGGTCATAATTCAAAATGATCTGGACAAATTGGAGAAATAGTCTGAGGTAAACAGGATGAAGCTTAATAAGGACAAATGCAGAGTGGTCCACTTAGGAAGGAACAATCAGTTTCACACATACAGAATGGGAAGCAACTGTCTAGGAAGGATTATGGCAGAAAGGGATCTAGGGGTTATAGTGGACCACAAGCTAAATATGAGTCAACAGTGTGATGCTGTTGCAAAAAAAAAAAAAAAAGCCAACATGATTCTAGGATGCATTAACAGGTATATTCTTCCAGTCTACTCTGTGCTGATTAGGCCTCAGCTGGAGTACTGTGTCCAGTTCTGGGCACCACATTTCAAGAAAGATGTGGAGAAATTGGAGAAGGTCCAGAGAAGAGCAACAAGAATGATTAAAGGTCTAGAGAACATGAGCTATGAAGGAAGACTGAAAGAATTGGGTTTGTTTAGTTTGGAAAAGAGAAGATTGAGGGGGGACATGATAGAGGTTTTCAGGTATCTAAAAGGGTGTCACAAGAAAGAGGGAGAAAACTTGTTCTTCCTGGCCTCTGAGGATAGAACAAGAAGCAATGGGCTTAAACTGTAGCGTGGGAGGTTTAGGTTGGACATTAGGAAAAAGTTCCTAACTGTCAGGGTGGTTAAACACGCTAATAAATTGCCTAGGGAGGTTGTGGAATCTCCATCTCTGGAGATATTTAAGAGTAGGTTAGATAAATGTCTATCAGGGATGGTCTAGACAGTACTGGGTCCTGTCATGAAGGCAGGGGTCTGGACTCAGTGACCTTTCCAGGTCTCTTCCAGTCCTAGTATTCTATGATTCTATGAGTATTCTATGAAAAAGTATATTTTTATGAAAAACTGACTCTGCTTTAAGTCTTTATTTTCTTCTTAAATGCCTGAGTCTATCTTTGGGCTAGTAGTGAAAGTGCTTATGACAAACCTAACTGCTAACGCCTCTTAGTGGAATTTGATGAACTCCTGACCAGTCCTAAAAGCCAACTTTTTCTGGAGGCTTTATACCTTGTTGTAAACAAACAAACAAACAAACAAACAAACAAACAAACAAACAAACGCCTTTTAAGATTGCAAAATCTTATATTACTTCATCAATGTACTAATAAACATGGCTTAGAATGATATGGCCTGTATGTGTTCATATTTCTTTCAATACATCACCCTTGGTCAAACCCAGTATCCTTAATGACTTTTAAGAAAGTTTTGTTTATTTTTATCCTCTCAAAGCCTTGTTTGCGGGGGGGCGGGGAGGAGGGAGGGAGAACTTAATTTTCATGACATATTGTCCCCGAAGGCTCCCGGAAGAGGCAGGCAGTACTAACCTGGTGATAATGTAAGGAGCAAAGCAGATCACGAAAGACCCTATAAAAATACTGATTTTCTTAGTAGCACGCTGCCGTCTCCTTTTCTGTTCATTAAGACAACGCTGTTTCACGCTGAAAAGGGAAAATAACAATCAGTTTAAGACAAGATGCTAGGGGACTCTTCAGCCAAGTCTGAAGGTAGCATGAACAGTAACTTGGTCTCAGGTGACGGCTGGAACTTGGCAAATGCAGGGTCTGAGAAGGAACCAAAAGCCCATCCCCACTAACTCTCGGGATAGTTAACCCTATGAACACCCCTATTTCTCCGCTACTTGAGCGATAGTCGTGTCCCGGCTTTTCTCGGAACATTCACTCCCAGTTTAAACACTGACGCCTATCAGTACCTAGACCCAGGCTTCTGGCACTAAATGGATTAATTTGAAGTTAGTAAAGAAACGCTGCAGGAGAAGGAGCCATCACGTCTGCAGGACAGGAATGAAGTCGTCGAAAGGTGCTCAGAAAAACAAGCCATGGGTTGGAGCGTAGTGGGTTTTTTGTTTTGTTTTGTTTTGTTTTGTTTTTGTTTTGTCCTTCAGGGCAAGGGTGATTTAAAACACCCTGAACATATCGGAACACATACACATACACGCACACATACACACACATTACCTGGGATGGATATCTACCAGCAAAACCAGCGTCTGCATTGTAATAATGTCTATCCTTTTGCAATGGAACCGGGCCACTTTTAGCACCTTTAAATAGGTGAAACACAGGATCACCAGGGACAGCATGAAACTGGTGGTGTGAAACACGATGGTGAACACTGTAAACCTCCTTCTTTCCGTCTCTTCTCTCAGGTGCAAGGTGCAAGAGGCGTACACGTTGCTGTAGTCTACCCAAGAGAAAAACAAGGAGACCAAGGGGAAGGCGAGGGAATGGATCCAGGAATAGCTCATCAGAATCACGGCGTCTTTGTAGCGCATCTTGCTGGTGTAACTCAAGGGGAACACCACGGCAATCCACTTGTCGATGCTGAGGGCTGCCATGCTCAGCATGGTGTTGGAGGTGAGGAAAGTTTCCAGGAAGCCCACCGCTTTGCAGAGGCAGTCACCGAAAGGCGGCTGGTGTCTCAGGATCCCCAGCAAAGTGAAGGGCATGTTTAAGACGGTCAGGAGCAGGTTGCAGAAGGACAAGTTCACCAGGAAGATCCCGGGGACTTGCCTGCGGAGCTCGGTACTGTAGAGGAAGCATAGCAGCACCAGGAGGTTGGACAGCAGGGAAATCACCAGCACCAGCACGAGGAAGAAAGCCAAGAGACCTCCGGCTAAGTCCATGTCTTACCAGCTGGCCATGCGCCCCTTGATGAGCAGAGGGGAGGCTTCAGAGGTGGAGCGGCAAGGGGGCATCGCAGCTGGCCCAGGTGCCTCTCGGGGGGGTGTCCAGAGACGCCCAGGCATGTCGGTGGAGACTCGGGGTGGGTCTGACGCCTGGACTGCCGGAAAGTACAGGCGACCTGCCGGCCGGCGCTGTCCCGGGGGCTGAAACGATCCCACCCCGACCCCCAG